TAAGCTGAAGGTCAATGAGATGATTTGATTCTAAGTTAAGGCATGATAAGAATTTAACCTAATAGAATTGATGTATTTTGATAATCTAAACCGTTATGCATTTAAACCTTAGGATTAATGAGACGATTTAATCTTAGGATAAAATATATAATACGATTTATTTACATTAAAATGCATTTCATTGCTTGGGCTCTTTTAGTTATTTTTAACCCAATTATATTGAGATGATTTATTTTTGGGTTAAGAATGAGTTCAAGGGTCCACGTTAATGAATTTTCTAGAGTTTATTTAGCCCATTAACACATTTCTTGTAGGCTAATTTTAGCTCTAATTTTTGTGGAAAATCAGAGTTAAATCATCATTTAAGTAGATTTTGTGTTTTTGGCATGATTTTGCTTAAAATGGGTGTCAATGTGTAATCAATCAGTTATGGAATGATTTAGGGGAGTGATGATCAAGTAATTGAGTGATTCTGGGTTGATTACGCGGTAGGATCAAATTAGAGCTGAATTAGGGGGACTGGGGGTCGAAAAAGGAAAGAACGGGAGACACACGGGGTGACCGGCGGTCCTCTCGCGACGACCGCCAGGAGCTGGCGGGCATCCCCACATGACCGCCGGCAGCGGCAGACATGGGTACCCAGAATCCCCGATTTCTCTGATTTTTGTTTCTAATTTGATCCTACGCAGTTTTAGACCAGATTGTCAGGCATAATTTTCACCATTACGTAGGTCCAGTCCCCTAGGCTTCCCAGAACACTATAAATAAGACCCCTCACACACATTTCAAAGGACACACATTATTATACACATACACACTCATAAGCGTTCTTGCTTGGAGAAACTATATTTCTCCAAGCTTAGGAATATATTCTTAGGCAGAAACTCTGGAGAATTTCGTGGGAAGTATCAACCATAATCCAACAAAGAAGAATCAAGAAGGGGATCAACCATTGAGCTAAGAAGTGGCAAGAAGGTGGGTGGAGAACACAACCCAACACAAGGAGCTAGAGGACGGCTACACGAGGTAACACTAAACCCTTTGGGTTGATTTTTGCTGGCTATATGAGGATGCTTTTGATGATGTAAGTGGCGATATAGTGCCATGTTTACATGGCTTTGACCTGGGTCACTCGGGTACGTAGGTAGTCTCGGTTTTACAACGGGATGCAAGCCAAATCTTCTTCTTCTCCCCTTCTCTTTTGTTTTCCACACTCGCACACTTGCACAAGGCACACTTATACTTTTCAATTGCACAAGGTTTTGACCCAACATGGAAGGGTGCCTAACATTTTTCCATCTATGACGAACCCCCGATCCCATGTCTTTGGTTCGCCATGACCGGTTGCCTAAAAGGAGTCATTTAAAGGTTTTCCTAAGTTTTGTCCTTAATAAAATTTGGGTGGCGACTCCAATAACATGGGATTGACTCAAGGAAGAAGGTGAAAGGAATAGGTGAGAAAGCTCAATTGATTTTGGGTCGGGTTCTCACATCCACCGGATGACCAAAACATGGATGTGCCTTCATATCTATTCGGTCGGGTTCTCACATCCAGCGGATGTGCCTTCATATCTATTCAGAGGCCCAAGTGATTTTAATGATGGATGTGCCTTCATTTCTATATAGTGATATGTACGTAGCAATTTTTAAAGATTTACAATTGTATTCGGTCGGTATTTGCGTAACACTCAATTTGCCGTGATTAAGAAAAATTTACCAATTAGCATTGGTTGCAGTAGTAAAGCGTGCTGCATTCCCCTTAAACCCCAAGGTTCAGGTTTCGAGTCCTGGTAGAAGCGGGTGTATGGAAATTATGCTATTGGTCCCACCTCACAAGGGTGCGCATCGAGCCACGGGGAGAGATTAGTCCGGTAGTCGACTGGGATACTCTTCTAGCATAATAAAAAGTTTAATTTTGATCATAATGCTAATATAATATAATATGTATATAGCAATATGTACGTAGCAATTTTTTAATAATTATGTACAACAAGTTTTTGAAAATGACTATTATGCTTTTAATTATAGTAGAAAGAGGAGGGTATTTTGGTATTTCAATTTCGCAAGTTTTAGGACTTCATGCTTTTATATATAGTATAGATAAACCATATATTAATTATTACGCAACACTTGATTTGTTCATTAAAGTAATTTTGGATTATCACTGGCCCTGGTATTTTACAAGAAATTCTTTTAAGAGATCAAAACTATAGATATCAAAAGGTACAAAACTCTATGCACAGAACCGGCACTTGAGGAGAGCTAGAGGAGCCCAAGCTTAGGGCCCCCTTTTGGTGGGCCCCACATCACATACTTTCAATTAAAAAAATTCTAGTTCTTTTTTACATTTCTTACTCAAGGCTACATTTATTCCCTGGCCCTGCAAACAAAGTCTACTTCCTTTTTCCTTTTTTATTTTCCCAATTTTGTTTACTCACCTCTAATAAATTTCATTATCTCACCTCTTTTACTTCTTTCTCCAATAATTTCTCTATTTTCATGGCTAACTCTTACAATTCTCAACTCTATAACAATCATATTTTTTATAATCAGTATATATTCTCTCTAAATTCAACACTTAACCATGTCAATCTTTTTTTCTTTTATCATTCTACTCTCATTTCTTAAAATTCTCAAATTAAAACAAATCTGTTGGGTATTTCTAAGAAATCAGTCTTCATTGGGAACACAAAGACCTACGCTCAAGGTTGAAGAAGAAGTCAGATTGTGGAGGCCCTTACTTGTGACGAATCAATTTTGCACAGTCACACAAACAGGTTTTATTGTTCTTACTCAATTACTCTTGCTCTTGTTTAGATTCAAAATCTTATTTAAATTGTAGAACAATATTTTGATCATTAAATTCAAATTTCAAATTATTTTAGGCTATGATCTTCTATGAAATATATCTTTATTTTATTGTAAGGGGTCCCTCTTTTTATTCTCACTCCGGCCCCTAAATTTATCCGAGACGGCTCTGTCTATGCGCACTGCTATCAGCAACTCAACAAAGGACCTGGTGGTGTGGTGCTATTTGATGCTAATTAAATAGATGGTATAGAAGGAATACCACTAAAAACATGGCAAACAAACTAAATTTGCATGAGAGGAACGGGTGAGTGATTTGTATATCTGTATTCTGCAATTCAATAATGTTGTTAATTAATTATTGGTGGACACTAAAAAAAGAGTGTAATGTAGGGGGCCGGGCAGGCGGGGACGCGCTAAGGGTGGGGCGAGTGGGGAGGAAGAAAAAAAAAAAGAGCCAAAAAAATACGAGGTACAGCAAAGAGAAGCCATTGGTCGCTGGAAGCTTAAAACGAAAGAGGAAAATGTGGCCCTCTTCCCGTACTCTTGGATTGGACCTTTCAGGAAAGATTTTCCTTTTCCTAACATTATTCCCGTTTCCTTTTCTGAATTCTGATTCCCATACCCCTCACCCCCCTCCTCTTCCTTTTTTTACTCTCTCTTACCTGGTAGTCTTTCTTTGGTGAGCCTTTACCTTTTCTTTTCTTTTCTTTTTTCTTTTTTATTTTGTGCCTTATGGTTCGTATCACTGTGATTTTCAAACTTCCCCAAAACGCCCCTACACCAGGTTTTTCTCCCCCCTAAATATCACTCCCACTTTGTTTGCTTCTCTTACCATTTACTGCCCGTGTTAGTTATGGTATAAAAAGTGAAAGAAATATGCCATATGCCTCTTTTGTATGTTAGTGATTGTACGCTACACTTGCTTAATATGGTCACAGAAAGAAAAAACTACTACTCCTACTACTATTCAAGCTAAGTAAATATATATTTATATAATAAAGAAGAGTGGAGGAGAGAGTGAGAAGAGATAGAGAGCGAGTGATGGGATGGAGGGTGACTGGTGACGTGAGTGTATGAATAATGATAATTAATTAGCTAATAAAGGTCATTGAGTAATTAGCCATCCTTCTAGTGTTTGCGCTGTCTATTTCTATTAGTGAGGTAATAGAGAGAGAGAGAAAGAAAACAATAGAGGGAGACAGAGAGAGGGAGAGAGAGAGGATGCTTTTCGATTTGGTTAACGTGGGAAAGTTGAGTAAGAAAGAGACGGTTCTTTCTTCCATTCTCATTTTCCCCCCACATCTCATCTGTGTCCTTTGAACCCACCCACCAATAAGAAAAAGATAGAAAGATTACAAACCAACACTTGTGTGAAGAAGAACAGTAAAGTTCCTCTTCAGTTTTTCTTTTTTTTTTTAAAGAACAAAACTGAGGATTGGGTTATTAGAAAAGCCAAATTTGACACAGCTCAAATGCATGATTGAATAAACCCTTAAAAAAACTTGTGGAAAAATATCAAAATAAAGAAGCATCTCTTCCCAAGAGAGCAAAGAAACTGTTGTTGATGATGAGCCATTGAAAACCCCAAAAGAGAAAAAAAAAAAAAGAAGAGAAAAAAAGAAGAGAGAGAAGAAAGAGGCAAGTTGTTAGAGAGAGAGAATAAAACCAAAAGGAAAAAAAGAAAGAAAGAAAGAAAGAGAGATCAGGGCAGGACTAGAGAGAGAAGTATCAAGGAGGGTGGCTTTCGGCTAAGCTAGCTCAAATTGGCCTCGTCTATGCTGTATTGGGCAGTTAGGGATACAAAGATCTTGAAACATCTCCCCTACTACCTCTTTTGCAACACAAACACCACTCTTCTGTCTCTTCTCTCTCTCCACTCTCTCCAGTCGTAGGTTTTTTCTCTTTCTTCTTAAAATAACTCAACTCGAACCTCCTGCGTCTCTTTATACACACGTATATATACGCTACGCTTCATCCATTTTTTTTTTCTTTTGTTTGCTGATTCACAAACACCAAGAAAAAGTTTCTCCTTCTCTAGCTTCTTCCATAGCCAAGCAGTAGCCAGCCCTTAATTTTCCTAGCCTTTCATCTTCGAGGTGTGATAATATAGAATCTGCCGCACTACTGTTCTCTCACCTTTCCCTTTTTGTTTCTCGAGTACCTTTGGAGTGAAAGAAAGAGAGAAAAAAATGTGGGATTTGAACGACTCTCCTGATCAGTGTAGGGACGACGAATCCGAGGGGTGCTCGTCGCAGAAGACCTCCGTGGACGGCGAGGACGAGAAGGGGAAGAGGGTCGGATCCGTGTCGAATTCCAGCTCCTCCGCCGTGGTCATCGAGGATGGATCCGAGGAAGAGGATGGGAGTGGCGAAGCAGGAGGAAGATTGCTCATCAAGAAGCGTAGCAGCAGAATATTCGGCTTCTCGGTGCCCTATGAGGAGGACAGTACCATGGACGGTGATGAGCCGCCAGTGACACGGCAGTTCTTCCCCGTAGACAATCCCGAAATGGGGGCCACGTCCGCTGCTGGTTGTGGCGGTGGTGCTGATGGTAGTGGAGGTGGAGGAGGAGCTGGTTTTCCTAGGGCTCACTGGGTTGGAGTCAAGTTTTGCCAATCAGAACTTTCATCGCGTGCTTCCCATCAGAAACCCATCGAGGTCTCACCATCACAACCGTTGAAGAAGAGCCGGCGTGGCCCGAGGTCCAGGAGCTCACAGTACCGTGGGGTTACTTTCTACAGGAGAACTGGCCGATGGGAGTCTCATATATGGTTAGTGTTGCTGTTTTTTTCAGGGTGTGTAAGTATGTATATTATTACACCTATGGACGTATAGGTATATTTCCTGTTTTGGGTTTGTTTGAAGTTTTTTTGGTTTCTGGTAATCAGAATTGATGTTGTGTTCTTTGGTTGTTTGCTCGATGCAGGGATTGTGGGAAGCAAGTTTATCTAGGTAGGAGTCATATCTCTTGTTCTTCATTGTCGATACATGCACTTGTGTGTTGGAAAAAAAGAAGGTTCCCTTATCATGAATGTTATGCAGACAATTCTTATGTGGGTGATATTGTTTTTTCTTATTTTCTTTGATGTTTTGTGCAGGTGGATTTGACACTGCACATGCAGCTGCTCGGTGAGCTCTTTCTTTAGGCCCTTCGGTTTGTTAAAGCTGAAAACATTCACCTGTTCTCATCTGAGAGAAAATTAGAGGACCACAATTTCTGGCTTAAAAGAAGATCTTTTTCCTTTTCCCTTTGGTAATTTGCAGTGCATACGATAGGGCAGCAATCAAGTTTCGTGGAGTGGAGGCAGATATAAATTTTAGTATTGAAGATTATGAAGAAGACTTGAAACAGGTAAAAAAAAAATGAAAGGGGTAGAAAGAGAGAGAGTGAGAGGGACTATCTTCGAGTTTTACTAATTTTTATCTTATCTTCAACAGTGCTATCTTATCTTCAACAGTTCTGTCTTTGCTGTTCTTTTCTTCCTTTATGATTATAGTGAAAACATAAATGGAAACATATGGTTTACAAAGACAAGAATCTTTTATGGTGAACAGATGAGCAACCTTACTAAGGAAGAATTTGTGCATGTCCTTCGCCGACAAAGCACTGGGTTTCCTCGAGGGAGTTCTAAATATAGAGGTGTAACCTTGCACAAATGTGGTAGATGGGAAGCACGAATGGGCCAATTTTTAGGCAAAAAGTAATCATTTTTTCTTGGTTACTTATTTCTTTGTCTGTTCTTCTTTCTTGGAGAGCATAACTATGTCAATCTCTACCACTTTCTCCTATATGCTTTTGCATCTGTCTTCCATTCGTCTTGTTTTTATTTGATTTTCATTTTTTGATGAGTTTGGTTTTGCAGGTATGTTTACTTGGGCTTGTTTGACACTGAGATTGAAGCTGCAAGGTGTTTATTCTATTCTCCTATCTTTTTACTTAGCTTGGAATTTACCACCTTGGATGTGTAAAACCAGTGGGGAATCAACGCTAACGAGTCTGGTGGTGTTTGCTTAAGTTTAAAATTTTCGGTAATTCCTTGTAGGGCATATGACAAAGCTGCAATTAAGTGCAATGGCAAAGAGGCCGTGACCAACTTCGATCCCAGCATTTATGAGAATGAGCTGAACAATGGTGGTGAGGGCCTGACAATCTTGCAATGTTTTCCTAATTTTCTTTTAATTCTTCAAGAACTAAGCTTATATTGTATTTGTGTTATATATTATTAGAAGTGTCAGGTAATGCTGCAGATCATAATCTTGATTTAAGCTTGGGCAATCCAGCTGCGAAGCCCAACAGTGGGGAGTTTGTGAACCACAGGCAAAATGCTGCAATGGATCAACATTCAGCAACGATGGCATTTCAAGCTGATTGGCAAAATCAGGGATTTAGACCAAAGGTGCATATAATTTTGGCAGAACAACGTTTGATTTTCCCTCCGTATAGTATTTTTATTTTTTGGTCATCATATATTTTTAAGTTGTTTATGGCTTGTATCTCACTGATGCCAGACTACCCTGCATAAAAATGACACTAATGGTCGTGGAGGCGATGTGTATGGTGAGACGGAAACAACCCAACTTCTTAGCCAAATCCAAATTCAATCACCAGCGGCCCTAATGAAGGCCAACGAAATGCCTGGATATGGACAGTTCAGAAGGATTGGAGAGACCCCAATGGTTCATGTTCTTCCACAACACCTAAATTCATCGAATTATTATGTGGGTTTCCACTATTAAGTTACTACAAATCCCCAGTAAATTTGTTCATGTATAATGTAGCACAGCCAACTAAATATTTTTCTGTTTGAATTATTGTAGATTCAATTTCCAAGCAGCAGTAATGGAAGCAGAATCGGGAATGATCTTTCACTATCTCCAAATGATCGTCATCAACAGCAATGGCAAGCAGGTCCTCAGTTGTTTGCCAGTGCTGCAGCATCATCAGGATTCCCACAACAGATTAGGGCTCCGCAAAACTGGATGCAGAAAAATGGGTTTAACTCTCTCTTCAGACCATCTTAAACCCGTTCTGTAAAGTAGCCATTCACTTCCTTTTATGATCTCTAAATCCTTGCTATGTTTTTCTGTGTAAGCAAGAAATACTTGTATGAGGCTAATATTCTGCCTGTTATTTCGACCCCGCAGCCTTGACTGAGAATCCAACTCCAGTTCCCCACAGAAAGTAGTAGAACTAGAGATTTTGGTAAAAGGAAGAAAACAGGTAATCAAAATTCCAACTCTATGGGAAATGTAGGTCACTAGTCAAACTAACCATGGACGAAAATCTAGAGGTAGATATTCATTCCGGATTTCTGACTAAAACTGTTGGCCTCTATTTTTTAAATTAAAATCTTGGACAGGCATTGATGCCGTTGCTTTGCCGCCTTGTATAGTATTTATTGCTGATATATAACCTATACCAGTAATTTTTTTGGGGATGAATATGGTATCTACTCCATGTGCACCCTGACCTCAATTTGGTTAATAATATATTCAATCGATGTGCCAAAGATAGCCATGGGAACTCATGATATTTTGTGAATCTTTGCATCACTTTTCCATTCTGTAGGCCTGTTACAAATATTTGGAGCTGGTTTCAAGTTGCCCCATTGAGTAATGTTTGTATGCAAAACAAGGATGACATAAGGTAAATGCCAAAAGGGAAAAATCTAGCATAAATTTTTCCATCAGAAGGAGAGAGTGGTGAAGTAACGCAGGCCTTAGGAAATGGAAATTTCGTCTTGGAAATATCGCCGGATGGTGATGAATAGTCACTATCTTTGGTGTCCTTTGAATCAGTTCAATTGGGTAAAGCAGTCAGACATTGCTATTATTATGAGGGGGACCTGTCATATTAAGCCAGTGCGAGGTCACAATGAGTTAGATGATATACAAGGCACACAGAAACCAAAATAGTATTTTTTAGTAGTCGTCGAAGAAGATGGGACTCCAATACATCTTACCTTTCTTACTTTTTTCAAGAATACCAATGAATTATAAGTCTATTAGAAAAATCCAAAATAGTGTTACGGATGAAGTTTTACTTGGGTGGGTAAAAGTTAAACCCTGACAGGGTTTTTGATGAGAAAAGAAATATCAGCATTTTATTTATGGGTTCTAGTATCCTTTTTCTTTTCTTTTTTTTATTCTCATGATATAGAAAATGGATGGTATCTGAAGTTTTGTTAGTGTTCCATCCAGCGGTAAATATTGGGTAACTAAATAGCCAAAGAGGGTCATTTGAGGTCTGAGACAAAGGAGTTTGATTAAAGTTCAACCTAGGAAAACTGTATGAATGAACGGCGTCGAGACTTTGAATATTCCTTTCCAATTGGCCATGAATAAGCTATATAAAGTAAACCTATTTGCTTAATCCAATGATTTTGTCTAATGTATAATTCATCAAGATATTATTAGATAATTACGGTGCTCATATTGCAAGTGATTGTTTCGTCATCTGGGTCGTCATTCAAGATATTTTTATGGGCAACAAGGTTTACGATTTAGGGGGGCAGTGATTTTTTTAATTTTTTTTTATGATTAAGGTTACATTGGTGGTATTTGTTTAATATTTCATACTTAGGAGACACGTCTACAATCTCATCACCACGTGTTTTTCATTATTCTTTTTGCTACAAATGCTGTATCATGCTCCACACACCAAGTCAAAACCCTTCTTTTTGGGAGGCATAAACATAAAATTTCAATTTAAAAGAGAATGTGACTCGCTAGCACACACACATAACAGGGAAAATCCATACAATTTGTTCTGACAAGGAAACAATAAAAACTTTTGTTCCTGATAAAAAAAAGGAAGAAATGATTCTTTTAAGCAACTAATTATATGCATTTCTGTTTAAACAATTAGCAAACAATAATACGATGATATCATGAATGATGCATAGCTTCCTTGTCAGTTAGTTAGTTACACACATTGTCTAGCTAATCTTTATATTCTGTCTTTCCGCCATTAAATTCTGAAGGATTATCTATACACAGATATATAGAAATAGAAGACTTACTTATAAGTCTAAAGGAACAAGCAGAAGCAGGATCTTAGAGCTCGGCTTGAATCATTGATCGGTGGAAGCCGTCACGGTATAATCGGATCGGTCTCTTAGTTATCACAGTCTAAATCCCTAATCTCACTGTTTACTGTGTATTGTGTATGTATGACAACTTACAAAATAATAACACATAACGGTATTATTTATAGAGCCCAAATTAGGGTTAAATTAGGGTTAAGTGGTGAGCACCCCATATGGGTGGACCCACACCTATTTTTCCAACAAATTCTTATGGGATGAATTATGCACTTTGCTATCTAAATTGGGCACGTATGCCATCAAGCAAGGAAGGTATCATGTATACCTTCTTTTAGACCATGCCATATATAAATGCCTTTTAATTTCGACCAGTGAATGTATGGTCTGCACACCCAAGTATAGAAAAAAAGAAAGATCGATACACATATATTGGTCTGTTATCGTTCCAATATCCAAGGACGGATCCAAAATGTAGTCACGTACACTGAATTTTTCGGAAAATAATTGACATTATAGCAATAGAAATATACTGTGTATAAAGATTTGTATACAATGTTTAATTAGAATTGTGTAATATTTCTTAGGATTTTTCTCTTCTCTCTCACCCTCCTAGAGAAAATCCTAGATCTACAACTTGGGGCTGCAGCCAAAGACTTACTTTCCGGCAATGAGCCCCCCACAAAAATTTATTTTAACTAGTTTTTTGTTTGCAATTTTTAGTTTTGTTGGTTTATTCCAACTTTTTGTGAATTTAGTCTCACTTTTTACGAGTTTGTTTCTCTCCTTTAGGAGCATTTCTCACCTTTTTTTGGTGACTCAAATAAGACGATGGGAGTCAAAAGTTATAAAGGAATATTTGACCTGAAGAACTATTTTCTATCTACTGCAGAAATTTACCAACAAAGAGACATTTTCTTTCACAGGTATGCCTCACCTTCACTTGCTGGCCTGGTGATTATTGCACGAACCATACAGGATCTGATGCCCGGGACAGTAGTGTGCCTTTGTAAATCCTCTATTGAAAGATATGAATCTTGTTGTGTATTTCTATGTAATAGATTGAGAAGAATTCTTATGTTAAATTTTTCTTATTTTTTTGCTAGATTAGACCTTCACTTGTGTAATTTCAGTAGATCTGTTTATATGAATGAAGAATGCTCCTTTTCTTAAAAAAAAAGTAAAAAATTAGAATTGTGTATATAAGATTTGTATTTTAAATAGAATTGTGTCTGTGAGGACCCGACCAAAAATTAATTGGCCTCCTCACCTAATCCTTACACCTTCTTCATAACTAATATCCAACATCAATAGAGCCGTCACCCGAATTTTATAGCAGGGCAAAATTCATGGAAGAACCTTTCCTTAAGCAACAAGGACTCCTTAAGGCAACTAATCATAACGGACTAAAGAAGTTGGATTCGGGGATTCGTCACGGATCGGAAGGTGTTAGGCACCCATCCCTGTTGAGGCGAAATCGTGTGCAATTGATGATCAAAGTATGCCTCATCCAACAACAACACAACAACGAAAACAACATAAAATTGAAAATGAAATGGAAAATAAAATATAATTGAGCTTGAGATTCCACCACTAGAATCGGCATACGTACCACGGCGACCGGGATCAAAGCTACGTTGTAACAGCCCAGGTAAAAATTTTTGATTTTTACCGGGACTGTAAAAGTCTTTTTACCGTGATTTACTGTAGAATTAATCTTGGGTAATTAATTCAAGGTAAATCGAGCGTCGTTTTTCAAAACCGAGGGTTTTCCTGCGCTCGTGATTTTTCTGTGGATTTTTCGGGCCAAAGTGGATATTTTTCGGGTCCCGGAATTCTCAGAAAAATCACACCGGAAAATAACTTAGGGGGTATCAGTTATTTTCTGGTCCGGACCGGACTCGCTCCATAATGCAGACAAGCTGCATTATTGAAGGAATCACAGGCTGAACAGTTTTTCTCCATCTTTATAACCGGTGAAGAAGAAGAAACCAGGAGAAGAGAGGAAAAGAGAAAAAAGAGAGAAAAAAAAAAAAGAGAGAAAAAAAGAGAAGGAGAGAAAAAAAAAAAGAAGAAAAAGAGAGGAAAAAAAAGAAGGAAAAAAAAAAGAAAGAAAAATCGGGAAAGAAAAGAAGCAGAAAAAAAGAAACCAATCAGAAAACAGAAAAAGAAAGAAAAATAGAAAGAAAAAAAGATTGAAAATAGGAAGAAAAGAAAATAAGAAAAACGGAAGAAAATGGCACTGTTCACCGTCACCCTTCCGGTTACTGTGCATGCCGACGAGATCGGCAGATTGAAAATAGGAAGAAAAGAAAAGAAAATAAGAAAAACGGAAGAAAATGGCACTGTTCACCGTCACCCTTCCGGTTACTGTGCATGCCGACGAGATCGGCGCCGCCTCTCGACGCACCGCCTTCACCATCGTCTTCGCCGAGCCGACGCGACCTCGACGCTGCCTTCCCCGTCACCTTCCGCCGCGAGACACGCTGCCGGCGAGCGATGACCCGCGAGCAGACCCGCGGATCTCCCTCTCCGCGCCGCTGACGACGACACCAGCGACGCAACGCCGCCTTTCCACCGCCAGACGAGTCGCCTCGATGTCGCCGACCCCGCGCTCTCTTCCTCGCGCCTGTGTTGCCGCCGGTCGCCGCTGCAGGTGAGCAACCCGTTTTTCACGGGCGGGTCGTGACCGGGTCGAGCCTGGTTCTGGGTTGGGTTGACCGACCTAGATCCGGATTGACCTTATTTTTAAAAAAAAACATATATATATATCTTAACTTATTTTGCTGGTTTTAATTTGGAAAAATATATATTTATATTTTGAAAATATAGTTAGTTTTAATTATGCTTTTGGGAAGAAATATATATATATATATATATATATATATATATATTATTTTCCCTGAGAAATTATGGTTGAGGAATATATATATATGTACTTTGAAAATTAAGGGTAATTATATTTTGTGTTGGAAAATA